CAGCCCAGTTCTACTAAGGCTGAGTCCAGACTTGCACAGCTGAGTAGCCATGGCACAGCTCACTCCTCATCCTCATGCTGTAAATGATGCCCTTACACTGCCTGTTGGGAAGAAGAGATTAAAAGATGATAAAAATTTTAAAAAACCATATAAAGTCAGGCCCATTCCCATCTTTTGAGATTACTTCTTTCCTGGAGCTGGCCTTAGGGCATGTCTCTTTTCCATGGCTTGGTGGATTTGGGAGAAGTGGAGTTGTGTGAAAACTTGAAGCAGGAAGGAGGACAAGGTGTTCATTGTGGAGAAAGCTGATCAGAGGGTTCTTCTCTTTTAGCCTGGCAGCAGGAGTGGTCGTTCTCTTGTGGGTCTGGCCTAACTCCATCCTCCTGTGTGGAACTGCTCTCTGGGTACAGCATCAGCTTAATCCTCAGGTTGGGTTCCCCCTCCCTTGCTCTGCACTGGTTACTGTGCATAGAGACACAGAGTTTTCAAAAGCTGAGACTGCTGGTAGTGAGCACATGACATAGGCTGGAAATTAGAGTGTGAACTAGGAAAAAAACCAAAACCAACCTAGAATAAATTTGTGCTTTTTATGCAAAATGACGTTGGCCATCACCGTGGGGCCAGAGCCTGACTCCCTCAGCCTGTGGATTAAGGTCGAATGTGTGTCTGCTGAATAATTAATGGAAAAGCTGAGACTCCTGACTAGCTGGGATCAGCAGAAATTTATAGTCTGTTAGTCACTGGACAGTGCACAGCTCTGTGCCTTGGCTGAGCAACGTTTTCACTCTGCAGGGTGAAAAGCCCTGGGGGTTTTCAGGCTGCTGAATTGCTGTGAAGCATTGTCCCAGCTGATCTTCATGGCAGGTTTCCTTCTGATGCCTTCTTTCATCAGGAGTGAAAGAAAAAAAATATCTCATTAGCTGATTTAGCTGCCCTGTAATGAAAATAAGTGTTCCTGCTACACTGCTTGCAGCTTTTGCTAGCCCAGTCTCTGTAATTGTGTCAGGGCAGAGACTCAGGCAGAAACTTGCCTTCCTCAATGTTCTGTTTCTTGTTCTCTTAACCCATTTCACAATTCTTACCTGGTTTGCAATTTCAAGAGAAATGTAGCTGACAGAGGCCTGATGTAGGCTGGAAATGCACCAGTGCTAAACTGGGTTTCACTGAAATTCAGTCTTCACTGGAGTTTCACCTTTTAAGCTGAATGTGCCTGGGACATTGTTTTCTACACCAGATCCAACACTGTGCCCTCAGCTGTCCTTGCAGTAGCCACAGGTAAGCTCCAAATAAACTTCATCCTATTGACAGCTACAATTAAAGTAAGAACACTTTAAAATCCTTATGGCATGGCATGTTTTACCTAGCAAAATCCGTGACATGAAAGGGCATTTTTTTCCCATTCCTTTCTATCTTAGTAATATTGTACTCATCATAAACCCCCAGTCTAGGTCAGATTACAAGTTTCATTATGTTTTTAAGTAGTGATAGAGTCTTCTTATTTCTAGAACAGCATATGACAGATACATCTGCTTGTAAACATATGGGAAATTTTTCTTAACACTGCTGATCCTCTACTAGTCTTCCCTTCTGACAATTCAGCAAACAAAGCAGGTGCAAGGATTTTTGGCAATAAAAAGTTTATGTAAGTTCTTATTAAAAAACAAGCCGAAATGCAATTAAATGCAGGTCTTGCACCACAGACCTGGCTCTGTGCAGAACTTGGGGGTGACTTTTGGAGATAGGGGACAGAACAAACCAGGGTAGCAGGATCTTATTGTAATTACAACTAGAAAAGACCTGATGCTGAGAAGGCAGTTTTGTTAGTCACTGGGCAGACCCTGTGTATATAAAATAGTGAATCCCTCTTTCCATGAGAGGAATTCTAACGTTGGTCAATAGGTAGGGCAGCATAAGGTTAACAGAAACTGGAAGCTGCTGGGCTGGTTTCTTTGAGTAGGATGTAGCTTGTGCCCATAAGTGTCAGCACATCATTTGTCAAGCACAGTGACCCAGGCTAAGTGAACCTCACCCTTGGCATTCCTTACCCTACAGCATGAGTAGCTGTTCCCTGGCTGAAGCCATTGCAGGTGATGTGTCATCCCAATTCATTGATGAAACCAAACCTCCAGATGTATGAAGAAGGATGTTCTATTACATTGTTAGTTGCTCAAGTGTCCCAGGCTAGGTTGGATAGGGATTTGAGCAACCTGGTCTAGTGCAAGGTGTCCCTGCCCATGGCAGGAAGGTTGGAACTAGATGGTCTTTAAGGTCCCTTCCAACCCAACCCATTCTCGGCTCTATATTGTTTCTAGATGAGCAAAAGTTTGTCACTGCACCAGCACCTAGCTGAGATTAAAATGCAAGAAATACTTGCAATCAAACCAGTTTAATTCATGTATATTTGTACAATTTGTATAAAAAAAAAAAAGAAAAAAGAAAAATAGGTACTTGCAGACATTAACATAAAGACCAAACAATATTTTCTATTTATTTAAAAAGCTTTAAACATACAGAAGCAAACCCCTAATTATAAATGCATCATTATGCATAGATTTTACTGTTTACACCATACTGCTGGCTGCTTTTATTTTTCATCCAGGAATCTATTTAAACTCCAAGAATTCTTAAAACATTCCTCTGAGCTTCCTGGCCTCAGAACTGCTGTCTATCTTCCCAAGTCATTGACCTTCCAAGCTGAAAACATTGCTCTAAAAAAAGTCAGATCTTTAATAAACAATTAAAAGTGCATTAACTGTAGAATTGTTTAATTTCATGTTTAAACAAGTCAGTGAAAAACACCACCCTGTGAATTAGCTTTTTGCATTATTGATTGTAAAGTATCTTTTTCTGTTTTTAATAAGATTTTGATATTGCAAACTTTTAGTCTTCTCTATTTTATCATCTCGTGCAACTGGCCCAGTTGCACGACGTGTAGTATTCCTGAAATACCCACTGCAGTACATTAACACTATTTTACATTTTAACTGTGTATACAATGCTCTTGCTGCATATCCCTGTTCCTTCTGCCAACAAAAGAGTTTAGCTCAATGAACATAAGCCCACTTCTAAAAGCTGTTTAGTTTGTCTTGTATTTTGCAGGAGACAAATGCCTATTCCATTCTAAACAAAGTCAAAAGAACAGAATTAACTTCCTGGTAGCTAAAAACTAGGGTTGGGTTTGGTTTTGGGGTTTTTTTTTGTGTTTTGTTTTTTCTGTACACAGGTTTAGATAAAAAAAGTGATGGCTATTCTGCTTAAGTGTCCTTGATAAGAGAATACTGCCTCTTACAACATCTATATCCAATTGGATCTATTACTTCAATGATCTCTAGCAAAAAAATAATAATCAATGAATGGTTTCATAAACAACAGGTGATTAAAGTAAAGGATTTATTATAATCTGCTTACAGTTGTTTGCAAAGACAGACATACGCTTTTGCATAAAGATATAAATTGCTTTTTAAAACTAATTTAGTGTGTTTAATTATATGAAGTTTTCTGTGAATTATGAATTGTACCAAACCAAGATTAAAAGTAATAAGGTACAAAAATAGGAGCAAACAGACAACAATTTGGACTGGGACAGGCATTTAACAGTGAAGTGTAGAATATGGCTTTGCTATTTTAGTCAAGCAAAGTTACTCTGAGACAGAAAAGGAGGCAGTAACTTTGTTAATATAAAAAGCTGCTGCAGACTGTATTCACCCAGAACCTGGCTTTGAAATTTTCTAGTTTAGACTTAATAAAAAAAAGAAAAAAAAAAGAGAAAGGTAAATTAAAAGATGGATGTATGACTGTGTCTTTACTGTAAACAACCAGTCTGCATGCTGTGTATATCTCACGTTGGAAGTTTGGCTTTCATATTGCTGTGCAGGTCAGTATTTAAAGATCTGCCTATGAATTAGACTTCCAAAAATGCAAATAATATATGTATGTATATATTTATATATAAAAAAAACCTCTCTGAATACAGTCTTTACAGATTACCCATTGCATAAGGCAGGTGTCATTTAAAAAGACAAGTAGCACTGACTGTCTTCAGCACACCAAAGTGCACCTCAAAAATTTGGGTTCAGAAAGGGTGTAAAATTCTTAATTCGACCACCATTTACAAGAAATGCTACATTCTGACCGGTCAAGGGACACACTAGAGCTCCAAAAATACCAGTGGCACCCAGAGAGAACACTACAGATTAGGACTCTGAGAAACTATTCTATTTAAACATGGGCATATGGTAGCAACAGTTGAGCCTCAGAAAAGTTCACCTGTCCTCTATTCTACTCCAAAAGTTTTGTAGTTGCTTATAAATTGTGAAAAAAAAAAAATCACCTCGAAGATTCTTTTCTTTGCAGTCTTGTTTGAGACAAAATCAGACCAACTGAGTTGAACGTATAGTGTCAATATTTGCCTTCTCAGACGTATTCTGATTGTTACAAAAATGTTTACAAAATTACATCCGTTTTGTCACTAAAAATTCTACTCAGTGAATCTGCCCACATCAGTCCCTTACCATCCCTCTCACCAGTACCCATCTCTTTGATATACTTACTGTAATGATCTGCATGTCCCCTTCATAACAATCAGCTCTCCCCCATCTGAAATAATCATCTGACCTTTTAAGATGGTTTCTAGATCCAGTATTTAAAGGAAAAAAAAAACAAAAAAACAACCAACCAAACAATCTGGGAAACCTTAATTAAAAAAAAAAATAGAAAAATCATTCACCAACCTGCTCACTCATCCCCAATCCCCTGAGAGAGAAAGGGAAGAGAGGGCAAGAACTCACTAGATCATTAAGCTGGTAAAAGCTTTGGAGAGAGACCATAATTTGTCTTGTTAAATGAAACCTCCGTGAAGTGGCAAACACAACATCGTGTAGTTTCCTACGGATATATGAAGCAGGATTTCTAAGATGTGCTCAAGTCACATAGGCTTGCAAGAGGGACAGAAAGGGAGGAAAAGAGAGAGGAAAAGAGAAAGGCTTAAAACACAACTGAAAAGGTTAAGCATTATGGTTATTTACAACAGATACTGTAGGATGGTAAATTAGATATGATGCTAAAAAAAGGCACAGCTTTCCCTTTCTTAAATACACTGTAAACGGTTCATTATGCATGCAGAACATTTCACTTTACAAAAAAATTACCTTGTTTGTTTAGACAAAGATAGTACTTAAATAGTCTCCAGCAAAATAGAGTTCTTTCAAAAATACTTTCCCGTTCATCCTATTAACCATTAAAGATTTTTTTTTTGTCTCATTTACAAAAGTTCCTTACACCTTATTTCAGGTCCTTCACAATTTATACATACAGCAATGTACAGTACAGCAAAAGACTGCAAAAAATTATTTGTAAAGCCAGCACAATAGATACTATAAATTGATACCAGGGCATTTGTTTTTCACATCTTATCCTTCTGAATTAAATAGTAAATGGACACTTAACACAGTGTATATCATCTATGATGGGATAACATGGGATAACAAATGCCACAGGTGGGGATAACGGAGTATTCCACACCAAATGTTCTGTTATTACTTTACACGTTAGGGTTTGTGTGTGTGTGTGTATATATGTGTGTATATATATAGCTTTCGTTTCTTTTTTTTTTTTTGTTTCTTTTTGTTTTTTACAAGAAAAGAATATTAATGCCCCATATTGACTTTTACGTTTTATGTGCAAACCAAGGGTAAGCTTTAAAAAGTTCTCATTAGTTCTCGAACCCTTTTAAAACAAGCAAACAATACCAGAAACTACATGGCGTATTTAAAACTCCATCTGTTAAAATATCAAAATCAAAGAGTTATTGACTAGATATGGCTTTTCATCCAGAGGAACAGGAACATTTTCTAAGTGTTTTAGGGTTATGGGGTAATTTCCAAACATCTAGGTCTTGCCAAATCCGAGTCAACTGCTTTCCATTCCCCCAAAACCCTTCGTATGATTTGAGACTATTCAGAGACTGCTGATGTAAATAGCATGTTTAAAATATGGTTTCTTGGGTCCTTCATGGGTGTGGAATAACACAGGGAAACTTAAGGCAAAGTTCTTCCATTTAAGACATTTTTCTATCACTTCCTGTGAAAGTACAGGGGCTTGGCATTCCCAGATTCCACCTTTGGTAGCTGGTCACTGATGATTTCCACCAGCATGGCTGGAAACTCTACTTTCAGTGCCTGAGACTCTCGGAAGGTGTAGAAGCAGAATTCCAATAAGTCACTAACAAGCTGAAATACAGAAAGAGACACTTTTTAGGAAAAACAGGTGGGGTTTTTTTGCAGGCAAACAACAGCTTATTGATAATGGAGTATTACCAAGAAATGGCATCTTACTCTGGCTTGGCAGTTCACTTGCAGGGGAAATAAAACAAACAAAAGGACTCAAATGCCAAAGGGCTACTTCACTCATTAAAATCAGCTAACTAGGAAAAACCAAGATACCACAGATTTGATCTTTGCAGCCTAACTGCACTTTTCATTTCACTAACAGCAACTTGGTCACCATGAAAACTATAGGTACTCACTGTCTATGAAAATAAATAAATAAAGCCTTCAGCCCAGAGGGGAAAAAATCAGCCACAAACTATTGTATCTCTAAGTTCCAGCTGGATACACATTCATTAAATCAGATTATTTGCTTAACTTCAGTGCATTCTCCAGGCCTGCAACCTACAACTGCCATAGCAGCTGATGTTTTCAGCTCAACAACAGGAATGCTGTGGCACATGGTGCCATTTCAGGTTTTACAGCATCACAGTCTACCTTTTTTTTTGGTGGCTGTGATCTAAATGCATCTCCTGAAGTCTTACAGTATGTTGGACCCTTTGTAATCCTTAAGAAAAACACAACCCAAGTCAGTCAAGAGACAGAAGCAAATCAGCTCCCAAGGCACTCATAAATGAAGCACATCCAGGTGTCAGTGAGCACATGAACTTCCACTGCAGGACACCAAATTACTGTGTGGTATGACTGAAGAAAAACTAGAGCTTGTGCTGTTTAGAACATTCCAAAGATACGCACAGCTTCATTTTTGTGCCTTATGTCCTTGCAAAGGGCTTAAACCACTTCTGCTCTGCATAGTTTATCAAACACAGGTTTGTCATTTCAACTCTTAACATGCAGAGCTGCACTCTGCTCCTGTTAAAGACAGAGCAAACCGAAGTGGACTTCTGGAAGGCAGAAAAGGAAATAAATACCACAAATATGGACAGCAGCACTCCCATCCTGTAGCACCATACCTTCCTGCTCATTTTCAGGACTTTCACAGCTGCTCTTGCAAACATGTAAGCAATTTATGAACATCACAGAGAAGTGCTGAGATCACTCAAACACATGATTTTCTGCTATTGAGCACTCCATGAGTCTGTTCGCTGTGGCTCAGTTCATTCCCGATGATCTGGCATGTCATGAAGCAATGCTAATTAATTAAACAGATGCATGCTAAATAAGTAGCATAGACATAATCTGGTTTTCAAGGGGGAAAAAAATGCTGATGTTCAAAAGGTTTACTTTACCCATTAGGAGGAGGTTGTTCCTGCATATACTGAGTGCAAAAAATATTCCAACCACCTCAAAACCAAAGCGAAGGAAACTGTCTCTTGATGCAATCACCACTCTCTCCTCCCTGTCACTGGCATCAAGAGCAGCACCTCAGCAAAGTAAGCTTTGCACCCAAACACAGCCCTGACAATGACCTGATCAATATGCTGCTTTTCCTAAATTTGTTTCCTATCACTGAATGTGAGTGAGGGGGTTGGGGCCACCTCTGTCCAACCATCCTCACTGTGTGTGCTGGTTTGGGCTGAAGTAGAGTTAACTTCCTCCCCAGTGGCTAGGGTAGGACGATGTTGAGGATTTGTGCTGAGCTCAGGGTTGATAATGTGTTTGTTGTTGCTGAGCAGAGCTCACACAGAGCCAAGGCCTTTGCTGCTTCCCACACTGCCACACTGGTGAGGGAGTTGGGGGTGCATGGGAGACTGGGAGGAGACACAGCTGGGACAGGTGACCCAACTGACCAAAGGGATGTTCCAGACCATAGGACATAACGCTCAGGATATAAGGGGGGAGGAAGAAGGAGGCTGGGGGGACATCTGGAGTGATGGCATTTGTCTGCCCAAGGAACCATTACACATGATGTGTCCCTGCTCTCCTGGAGGTGCTGAACACCTCCTGCCTGTGAGAATCAGTGAATTAATTCCATGTTTTGCTTTGCTTGTGTGTGCAGCTTTTGCTTTCTCTATTAAACTGTCTTTATCTTAACCCATGAATTTTTCTAGCTTTTAACTTTCTGATCCTCTCCCCCATCCCATTGGTGGGGCAGTGTGCGAGCAGTTGTGTGGTTCTTGGTTGCTACCTGGGGTTGAACCACAACACTGTGCCACTGGCTCACCTTCTGCAGTTCAAGCTAATTCCTGCCCCATCACCACTCCTGTGAAGCCTCTGACTGCAGTGAGGTATCACACAAAAACCTACATAAAAACTACTAATTCTGACTTCTCTGCAAGCTTTTAGTAGTATCAAGTACATATGTATGTCTGCTGCAAATGCAGACAAGGAGAAATGAAAAATAGTAACATTTATGAAGGAAGCATAATCTATTCCATACAACAAACCAGTTAGCAGTCCAGTAGGTGAAAACTAGAATGCAATCATGGATACTATCATAGCATAACACACTATGAGTCTCACCACAGAGCAGAAAGGTCAAGTTTATACACCAATTTAAAAGAAAATACCTCCCTATCCTGTAATACCTGGGTTGGAAGCCTTAAGGATCATGTATTTTCTAAACCTATTCAGTGTGCTAAAACTTTGGTTCCTTTCTTTCTCAACCTACTTAAAAAAAACCCAGGAGCACATGTGTGTC